TGGTAGCGGGCTGCTTTGGAGCGGGGTTGGGGCAGCAATCTAGCTTGTCCGGCTCCGTATAGCGTGTGGTCTGCTTCTTCCCCACAGAAAGGGCCTGTCCCAGTCAGCCTTGCCCTACCGACGCAGCGTGCCTACGGTAAGTAATCTCCTCGCCCCGTCCGCACTTCGCAGGCCCGGGCGGCTGCCGTGTGGCGTTCAGTGCGAGGCCCGGCTCCCGTAGTGCAGCTCAGTAGTGCCCAGGAAAAGAAACAAAATTAAGAGACCTGTAACGTTTCGTGTCATCACTTTTAAATTACGGCCTGATAAAATGCGACCTTAGCCTGTGGTCTTCAGGATGCTCAGAAAGCAAGTATCGATTCCTGGGCAGATGATTTGTTGGGCAAAAAAAAGTCGCCTTTCCTTTTCGTACTTTCCTTTATTTAAGTGCTAACTTCAGTTGTTTTCAGCCTGTATGATGGTAATTCCTGGAGAATAAATTACTCTTTTCATGCTCGAGTTCGGCCTTTGCCATCGTGGAATAAACCAACAGCTTTCTAAACTATTTGCAACAGTAATTTGCTGGTCAGAGCACTAATTTAAGTATCGTGAGCATGCCCTTAGTTCATTCAGGGTACTCCCACTTAAAAGGCTTACCTGTCAGCAAAACGAGCAGCTGCTTAATCTGTTTTGCTTTGCAAAACTATGTCTCAGAGGATTTGCTTATTGGCAGAAAGATCGATTTGTGGTGAATGGACAAGTTAAATGGAAACACAAAATTAAAGCACAAAACAGGAAAATAAAGAGATAAAATTTAAAGTAAGGTAACATGAAGCTCCTTGAAGTACTGCTGGTAGTTAAATGGTTTAATAATGATTAGAATGCTCAAAGGCTATACTTGTTTTAAAAAAAACTTGTGGGTTTTTAGCTTAGTTCTATTTGTATTCTACAGAGCAATTTGTAATCTATAGAGCAATTAAAAATACAGTTTTCACTGTACTTTTCTAGTTCATAATGTTACGCTATTAAAAAGGAAAAATAGGAACTTTTCTAGCTTGTTGGAAAGAGCAGGGATTATCTAGCTTGTTGGTGTTGTCTTTGCCTTAATAATCACGGAAGCAATGGCTCTATCAGCACGGTTTAACACAAGTAATAGAAAAGGCACAGGCCTTTCTGAGTAGACTGATTTGTTTCATTTTTGAATTAATTTATATACTTAAAGTCTGATTTTCACTAATCTCTGTAGGTGCTATGCTAAGAGATGGCTAAACGATTCTCAAGTTTGCTTTTCTGTCAAACGCCCACTTATAGTTCCTTCCCAATGGCAGTGATTTTTTTCTTCTGTAAATCTGGACTCATGCTTCTGGTGTGGTGGTTAAAGTAATCTGAAGGTAAAGCAGCTGGTTGGAGGCTATATAGGGTATTTTAAACAGAGGCTTTCTTCCTTCACCTCTGCCTTCCCCTACCATATTTCACTAGTGCTATAGGTTGATAATATGTAAAAAGGTTTCTGTAGCATTAGAAGTATAACTTCAGTTGGTTTTTCAAGCATTACAAAGCATCTGTTTGTACTACCTATAAAAAGCTTTCACAGACCTAACTTATGCCTCAGTATTGTGCAGTGTTCATGAGGGTTTTTTTCTTTTTCCTGATTTTCTTTAGTGGCTGAAACTTACTTCTGATGATGTAAAGGAACAGATCTACAAGTTGGCTAAAAAAGGCCTGACTCCCTCACAAATTGGTAAGGTTTTTTAATGATTCCTAAATGGAGACAAAACGCATTTTTCTGGCCATAATAATATAGTTGTTCCTTCAGCCTACGTTAAATAACATGCTAAGAAATTACAGGTTTTCTGATGTACCTATGTACTCACTGTGTGGACACCATTAAAAAAGTCATGTATCTCGTTTTTGCAAGAAGTTAATTTGGTGAAGTAGTTGAGGTTTTGTGGGTTTGGTTTTTTGTTTGGTGTTTTTGGTTTGTTGTTTTTTTTTTTTTTAAAGCAGAAAATGTGAAGAATCTGGTTAATCTTATAACCTGTCTTTAGGAGTGGCCACTACCAGATGTTACAGGGAATTTTAGTCTGCCCAGTTTCTTGGAGAAAAACTTGACATCTCAAGTATCAGCAGCCCTGTGTTTAGGAGCTTACTGAGTGAGGCACTGCAGCTGCATAATAGACAAGTTCTCAGTAGTTTGGACCCCTCTAGAGCTCTCCTTAAACGTATGCTACAACTTTGTGTGGTCATGAGATATGCAGTGTTATGTGCTCTGTGAATAATCCTGAGAGTATTAGTGATCCCTATGGTACAGTCCATTTTTTTAGAGTAAAGATGTCTATGACGTCTTTGTTAACCATAGAGAAAAGGGTGATAGAGTACCTGGTTTAATGAGTCCTGTTGAAAACTCGCAGTAATACTGTAGCACTTACAATGTGCTACCTGCCTACGTGTGATGGGTGGGTTGTCTGATAAAGTGTTTCAGCTTCTGTAAGTTGTATTTTGCTCACTCAGGTGTCTACCATTTGCTCACAGTTTGTGCCAGACAGGCTTTTAATATAGAGAAGGCCTTTTTTGGATATCTTGTAACTGCAAGATTGGTTTCACAAGATTTGTTTGTGTGAGGTTTTTCTTTTCGGTGTGAGATGTAATCATTTGTTTCAGGTGTGATCCTGAGGGATTCCCATGGTGTTGCCCAGGTTCGCTTCGTTACTGGCAACAAAATTTTGAGAATCCTTAAATCGAAGGGTCTGGCCCCAGACCTTCCAGAGGATCTTTATCACTTGATTAAGAAAGCTGTTGCTGTTCGCAAACATCTTGAAAGAAACAGAAAGGTGAGTGCTGATTTAAGTTTCTATGTTTTGCTTTGGGGGTTTTTTTTTGTCAAATAATACAGTAGTTTATTTACAACTCGACAAAGCAAAGACTCTTAGTGTGTACTTCCTGTTAGCCATCTTTTTGAGTAAACCTAGGGGCTTGGGGAGGCATTTTGATAAAGGAGAGTGGTTTTGTCTGTGTAAAGGATCTTAAAAGCATTGCTTAAACCACGTATTTCTGGTTCTGTTCTGATTTTACTAGATTCAAGAGAGTTTGGTATTGGCATTTGTAGCAGTAGCTGTGGATTTTTTACTTTATTAAAACTTACCTGAATTGTACTTCATGGAGAAGTCAAAATAGTGCTTGGTTGTAATGTAACTTTCTTTTCAAGGATAAAGATGCCAAGTTCCGCCTGATTCTGATTGAAAGCAGAATCCATAGGTTGGCTCGCTACTACAAAACTAAGAGAGTTCTGCCACCCAATTGGAAGTAGTAAGTCTTCTCTTTTGTTACTGTTTTCACTGAGGTCTTGTAGGTTTTGTGAGCAATATGCTGGGGCTGTTATGCAAAGGGTGAAGGGTGCATTATGATCAGGCCTATAGGTAAGCCAGGCACCAAAGAATATGTATTTTCATAAATATTAACTGATACATTAATGGAACTTACTGCTGGGTAAAATGACTGTCATGGCACTTGGAAAAAATAATTGTCTTGATGAGTGAAGTCACTGCTGGATAATTTTTATGATATTTTATACAAACTGTAGTCTCTGTTCTCACTCAGATACTTTTATAGTTTATGCAACTTTAAAAATTTATTGAGAAATGGCTTAGCTCTGGCAAAAATGAAAGCTGGTTGTAGTTTTTCTCTAGGAAAATGTAGCCAGCGTAGGAGAATGCCCACAGATGTCAGGGTGAGCTCTTTTTCTGAGAAGACTCTAAGTGCAGCTAGCCAGGTTTTTGAATATATGGTTTTGTGCTGTTATCCTAGTATTTGTGCATTAAAAGGAAGGGTGAAATCTTTCTTTATACCATAAATTTTAAACTGGTAGAGATTAAGCTCATGACTGGTAGTTAAAGCTTTTAACTGAAGCGGTATTTTTGGCAA